TATCACCTTTACAATCAACAATTTGCTGACAATTATAACAACCAGGTGTTATAATGAACAATTTCTTGTTAAAAGGATGAGGAAGTCAACATTCGTCAGTATAAACAGGATGTATTGCGTGCAGCTGTCATAAATGGTTATGACAGCTGCATTTCAGCGACGTTATAGCGTCATCGATAGACATCTCTGACCTCGCATCTGCATATTCGTTATTAAACTTCCGATCACCTGATCATTTTTCCAGACTAAATCAGATAAAAGTGAAACGAGAACTCAAGTCTGGGTAGACATCAGCCAACGCCATACACCGGCGGATCTTCCCATCCACCCTCCCAGATACGTACGGAGTGGACCTCTCCCGGCGGACATACAAGGTGGACTATATCGGACGCCATACACAGGCCATACAACTCCAGCCACCCTGTTCCAGCGAACATCATCAGAACGTCATAGCCAGTTCGACATATCCCAAGACGCCATGCGGAACAGACCCCTACCAAAACTCCCTTCTTGCTATTATCATAGAAGGTAACAGCTGGAATTCCATATAAGAAAAGAAGACATCGACAACCTTTTCAAAGATAGAGAATAGCTGGTTAAGACGCGTGTAACTTTATCCTAACTAGTGTCAGCATCCTCACGTTGGTCAAATCTTGCTATCCCGCTGAAAATTTATTAAGTAGCCATCCAGTGACAACGAGACGGGTTTTACCATCCCGTGCGGTTGAAGTGGTCATTAGGGATCGCCTTCCCTCTTGGCCCCCGGTTAATCTTATATAGTTTTGCTGCATTTTTGGTAAAGTTAAGTTTTTTTTGGTTTCGTAATAACTGTAACTTGATTTAAGTAATAATGCATTTTCTTTTCAGACGCAAAATGGTTTTCAGGATATTCGAAGTTTTGTAAGCTGCAACCTAACACTCGAACAAAAATTAAAAGTTATTACTTTTTCAATAGTATTGTTTTTGGTATTGAACGTTTCTTGTTATAACCTTATAACTATTAATCAATATCTTTTTGTTTTAGTTGCTTGATTTCGTGAAAAAATTCGGAAAGATTACATTGTGTCTTTCGATAGGAAAATATAAGTATGAAAAGCCAGAAAATTCACAATTAACTTCTGTGCATTGCCTTCCTTTAATCTGAGTAATCCACACTACATTTTATAATGTTTTATGAATGTTGTGTAATTAAATACTGTATAATGTTATTAAACAGAGCGTAAGCAGATTCTTTATACGTCAGAAAGTGCTTTTTGTCTGTGATCGCAGATAAAAGCAACTACACGAGCAATAAACAGGATGTTTTGCATCTGTTTTGCACAACTCAACAAGGCCGATGTCGTCATGATGCCAGAATTTTGAAATTCGACAAGTGATATTTGTATACAAATTTCTCCACGTAAAATCTATAAGCCGATTTCAGGTTCTAAATTTGAAGCAACTAAGTGAATTTATTATTGCTTTATTATAATATCGTGCAAAAACGATCTTACTGAACATAGTAATAAAATGTTCAAAAATTTCGACTTATTTCTACTTAAGAAGTAGTTAAATAATTAATAGATTAGGGAATTGAGGACACAAACAAAACCCTGATGAAAGAGCGGAAATTTTACTTAAACAAAAGCTTAACCGAACCAATCTATAGGCGAGTACAGTGGGAACTTTTTTCAAATATTAGATGTAATAGTAAAGTTCAAAATACCACATATACGTCAGTTAAACTCAAACGATATATATATTAAAATAAACGTATGTACAGTTACAAAGGTTCACAAAACAAACATTTACAAAACATCAATTGTAACAAAGTTCAACACTTTATTTACTATTGAACACAAGACTGTGTTATTATTAAAACACTTGGCGTTTAACTTCTACTCTTAATATGAAGGCAATTAAATCAAAAAATGAGTCCAAAGCTCCGCCAGAGAAAAGATACTAGACGAAACATTACTAAAAAGTTACTTGAAGAAGAAAATTTTCCTAATAACTGTCATGATGATGAAGAANTTCGACAAGTGATATTTGTATACAAATTTCTCCACGTAAAATCTATAAGCCGATTTCAGGTTCTAAATTTGAAGCAACTAAGTGAATTTATTATTGCTTTATTATAATATCGTGCAAAAACGATCTTACTGAACATAGTAATAAAATGTTCAAAAATTTCATTATTTACAGTATATATGTTTTAAGAAATTTAAGCTGCTTGTCTCAAAATGTTTGAGACTTTTCTGCTTCAGGTATTATATTGCAACTAAAATGCAAAATAGCCACAGAATAGTATATAATAAAGATGGTAGTAGATTAGAGGTAATTTCTACAAAATATGTTTTAGGAATACATGATAAATTAAAGACTTCATCATGGGAAGAAAAAAATCAATATCATGGTTTGAATATTGTCAAAGAACTGAACTGTACCAACTTGAACACTCAAGTACAAAAATTTCTACAAAACGGAATTGTTCTTATCGGGTTTTGATAGACTACGTAGATTTTTGTAGAAAAAATGACAAAACAAAAGACTCATTTGGAAACATCCCTTATTGAATTCCTATCAAATGTAGTTACTTTCAAGAAATTTTGCAATTCTCTGAGGAAATTATGTAAATTGTATCAAATATATGTTTCATAATGAATAGTATACAGAGTTATCGAACAATATACAAAATAAAACAAGGAAAAAACTATCAAATATTAAACAGGAATCACAAATTGTAGACTTTGGCATGGACTAAATATCCTGCGACTCACATTGGTAAATTGAAACAGCTTATATGGAGAGATTAGAAGAAATTCAACATGGATAGGCCAGATGGCTGCAGAACTATTGACACGATCTTAAAAAATATGAATATATTTGCTCAAGAGTGCAGTGTTATGGTGCAATGTGCATTTTGATTGGCTTGCCATGATAAATCTAGCTTCTGTTACTGGTCGTATTATTGCTGTAGGTATGAACAAGTACTAGAAATGCGCCTGATGCCATTTACAGACAAAATTTAATTAAAGGGAAGTTTTACCAATTTTAACAAGATGATGCAAACTCATGATACAAAATCACTCGAGAGTTGTTTATTGCAAATAATCATATCTGTCGATATTATGAAATATATAAGTTATTATACAGGGATGCACAACCTTTTCTGAAGAAAGGCCAAATTAGGATTAAGTTTACTGACTGGGGGCCGGACCTCCAAGTGATTAATGTGATGGCTGAGATTGGATGCTGGCGGCAATCTTCTTGATGTCTAGCGTAATGGCAAATGTTGAAACAACCAGCAGATTTTCCAAATTCTCGTTGGTTAACCTGNAAAATAATACTTACAGCACACATTTCAAAGAATCTGTTGTCAATTGGTATAACATGGGAAAAATTTCAGCGAGTTAAAAATTGATACGTTTATTTTTCTTTGCTTTCAGATTACATACAACTAATATTAGAAACGCATTTGTATTAAAGCAGAAGAATTTTTAATGCAATCTGTAATTTCATGATTTTAGAAGGAAAGGGATGTCTAGAGGACACCAAAGAACTAACGTTCTTATTCTGATTCACATGTCTAATCCAGTATGATTGTTAATAAACATAATGTTATATTAGTTTTGAAATAAAATTAAAAAATTTAGTCAGAATTTCTGATAAAAGTTGTTTCTCAATGACAGAAGATAATCGATAAATTAACTGTTTTTAATGTTAACATGCGAACCTGTTGTATAACAACTGAAAATTGTTTTTAAAAATTTATGTTATTGTCTAAGATTGTGACAATCTAATCGTCCGTTGTGTGAGGATTCGAATTCAGACTCCGTGTGTTTATATTATTGCATCATAAGATCACATTGTAGCCATACTTTCATTCAATAACTGTCAATTTTTATTCCTGGGAGCTAAACATATGCTAAGTTCTCAGGCTTAATAAAGACGCTTTCTCAGCACCTTTCGACCTAATATATCGATTTCAACAATACAACCTTAGGGCAGAACAAAGTGGCAGTCGTCACCAGTTCTTCGAGCGGACCACTCAAGGTTTCCCTGTGCTAAAATATTTGGATATTTCCTCGCCTTTGGATACCTCCTCGCCTAATAGCTAGTTACCTAAGAACTGTGGAAATAAGAACTGTCTTCTTTTGTGTCCGACTGACGTGCAGAAGATCAAGATTTCATACAAGGTATTTATCGCCACGCGAAACTTATGTAAACTCTCTTTCTCGAGAACCGCGGAACTGTAACAGAAATCTTAAATCTAATTTAATGTCTATTTTATATCTATTGTAGCAAAGATTCCTAAAAACTAGCCTAGCTAAAATCGATATATTTTATATCCTGTATGGCCTATAGTTATCAATTAAACCGTTGTTACGTTAAAGCGTCTCTGAGTAAGTCACTTCCGGTGCACTGTCTCTCCTTCCATCCCATCCGTTCGATCACACGCGCGACCGCTGACACGCCCAAACGAAACGGTTTCTGTGTCTAGCCGTGAAGACACAGTGGTGTCAGTCCTGACGAAACTTGTCATTGCGATCTTCACCGACGGGATGTCGACCCTTCGGTCACGTGGTGCCGAAGTATAGGGAGGCCCTTCGGTATTGTCACAGTTGTATAAAATATTCCATTTTCATACAATATCATTAAATAGTAAATAATTAATTTTCAAGTTATATTTGAAAGACATAATTTTCAGGTTAATTTCCAAACGATAAATTTTATGTATATTCATGCAAAATATAATATAAAACAGCAAATTAATCATCTCATTTCAGTAATAATTCCATTATATTTTATTGACGAAATAAAATAAAACATTTTTAAATGGATATTCTGATGAATTTACTTTTATTTATTTATAACAACAAAACACAATTTAAGTGGAATACATGTATACATTACTGGAATTTTTCTACGAAACCTGCTAACAAAATCTCTACAAACTATTCAAAAATCTGAAATTACTCTTCTTTAATATTTTGAAATTTAACTTTTTTAACTGAATAAAATCATCCTGAATATTTTTAATGTCCAAAATAGCAACTAACTGTATTACAAAATGTTTAGCGTATAGATTTTACAGTGAAATTCACAACTATATCAAATTTTTATATACTTACAATTCTGATTGCGTTTGGAAGCAATAATTGGAAGAGATGTTTGCGAGAAAATTTTAAATAAAATAATACTAGGAAAAACACAAGATATAAAAAGGCAGATATATTGATTTTATAATTTCGTTGTTAAAGTACTTTGTTTAACGTAATATTTATCTTTGGCAATTTTGTATAACTCATTCATTGAAGTTACTCCTGTGTTCTCTACCAAATTGTAAAATGTACCATTTACATTCTTCAGTAATTTATATGGCGAGTCGTACTCTTTTAGTTTTCCAGCATCCAAAACCTAATAATATAAAATGTTTAATTAAAATTACGTAATTATTTTATATTAAAAAAAGAAAACTTACCATAACCTTATCCGAATCGATAATTGTATGTAATCTATGGGCTATTGTCAATACTGTACAGAATTTGAATTTCTCTCGAATTATTTTCTGTATGCAGGAATCAGTGCTGGAGATAACAAAATAATAAATATGTTATGATTTTCAAATATTGATACATATTAAAACCTAATTTTTAACATGTCTTGCAATGCTGGAATAAGGAAAATTAACAAAAATGTAACTCTTCTTATTCATATGAAAGTTCAATTATGTACCACTTGCAATTAGATTTACAATTGAGTTCATTTATATATTATTATATCATAAACTAAACATTGTAAATTCTCAGTTTATAACACTTTAATGTACTAAACATGTTTACATTAACTTAAACGGTTAGTAGTAGTGGTTTGACACATACTAATCACAAAATTAATTTCAGATGTCGATTAAATTAAAATTGCAAATAAAAATTTGTTGAATGAAATTATCTCAGATCACAAAATTAATTTTTTGAGTAAATTACTATTGAATAAATTAAAATTACAATAATTGTATGAAATAATATAACACCAAAGCAATTTTTTTTTATTTTTATCATCAATACTAGAATTAGTTATTTCTTGATGGATATCTGTCTTAATATTCTGGTACATGACAGTTTGAAATAATATAAGACTGAAATTATTTTGAAAAGGTTTTTATTTTTACGTTACAGTTTATTTAAGTGTTTTCACATTTTCCTTCAGTTTATCTAAAGCAAGAAACTTCTGCACCTAATAATTTTTCAAAATATACATTATTTTCAGATAAAAAATTTCTCGATTAAATTAAGATTATAAATATTTAGAAAACTTTTTATTTCATTTTAGTTTTCATAAAATACATTGAAACAATAAGACAAAGTTTAATATATTCTTTCTAATTATTATAAAATTAATTTGCAATAACAATTTTTACAATTTGTTCTAATAGCCAAGTAAATTAAAACACGAGAACTTCAAATAATATTATAACAATAAGGAAAAGTAAAATAGGAAAATAGTTCAATATAATAATTATTTAAATTATATTTGTTACTTATTCATTAAATATCGTAAAGAAAACAATGCTTTTTTAAAATATTTCTGGTAATAACAAATTTTTTAATATTATTCAATCTTAGACACCAAAAGAAGTTCGATTGTGTAAATAACTGTAGCTCCAGTTTTTAAAAATATTTCTTTTTCCTATCTATTCACCTTTAAATAAAAATAATTCGTAATACATTGTGAAACGATTTAATAACTTTTGTAAATTACTATGTTTAATCCAACCAGTTATATCCGATGTTTAATCCATGAATTTTTTTTGCTAGTAAAATTGACTTGCCATTTATCTTTCGCCTATAATTGATACTTTTTAAGAGAATCTATATAAATGTCTATTACAACTTCTATAAGACTGTGTAATGTTTTTATGACCAACTGTCGATAAATAATTTCATGCTCTCACTTGAAATGCTTCAAAATCAATTAGAATCGCATTATATAATTTTATATGAATAAAAATTAGGATTAGTATTATTTTATATTTAATAAGAAAATAACGAAAAGATTTCATACATAAACACTTTTTACTAACCATATTGAATGTTTATTAATATACCAAACGTCTTGTCTTCCAATTTTTGATATTATAACATGATTATATTCAATTATTTCATCCATTTTATCAAATTGTTAATGTGAAATCTGTAAAAATATAATTCTTAAAATTTATATTGTAATTGAATTGAAATGAAACTTATGTTTTTAAAATTAAAAAAATTTAGTTACTAAAATGAAATGAAAGTAAAAAATTATAAAAAATAAGAATTTAACTCAAATTGTACAGTAGCAATAATAATAATATTAAAAAAGTGTCTTTCTTCAAATCAAATTTAAACTGTGTGATCAAACAAAGTCATTAATCTTTGAATTACTATTTAATATTTTTAGACCGTACCTTGAATAACAGGATATTTAAAAATGAATCGAAAACAGTTAATTTCCAATATTAATTTAAAAATATTAATATATATAACAATTTCATTTTTGTATTTATACGAGGGCTGTTCAAAAAGTATCGGACTTTTACTCCGCAAAAATACATTTATTAATTTTGAGGTACAAAACCCTAATCCCCTTCAAAGTAGTCTCCTTGGTAGTGTATACACTTCTCCCAGCGTTCCTGCCATTGCTGGAAACACTGCTGGAACACATCTTTTGAAATGGCCATCAGCCAGTCCGTCGCATTCCGCGCGATGTCTTCTCTCGACTAAAATCGGGTTCCTTTTAGCAGCATTTTCAGCTTGGGAAATAGCCAAAAGTCACACGGAGCCATGTGGGGAGAGTACGGAGCGTGACGAACAACAGGAGTGTTGTGTTTGGCGACGAAAGCCCGAATCAGATGCGCTGAATGGGCGGATGCGTTATCACGATGAAGCTGCCAAGTTTTGATCGACCACAGATCCGGTCGTTTGCGTCGCACAGCATCGGAAAGACGACGAAGGACCTCCTGCTAGTACTCCTTTGCGATGGTTTGGCCTTGTGGCGCGTACTCAGCATACACCACCCCACGAGAGTCGAAAAAACTGTCAACACGACCTTGATATTGCTGCGGACCTGCCGCGCTTTTTTTGGCCTCGAGGATCGTCCCCAAAAGCCTGCTGAATCTTGCGAATGGTTTACACTTGAGTATCGACAAGGTTTTTGGCAAAATTTGATGTAATATCGCTGCTCACGTTGTTCAGTCATTTTCCAACTTAGTGGAATCCGACGAGAGCTCACTACACGTTCTTACTCATAGGCCGACTGCCAGCGACTGACACTTCCTGCAGGCGGGAAAAAATTCAGGGCTGTGCATGACTGTCCCCTCCACAACTCCACCGAAAGAGGCCTCCCGCGCATCATTGGTTTACGCGGAAAAATAAAAGTCCGATACTTTTTGAACATACCTCGTATATATAAGTTTTGTTTTTCAAAATTGCTAATTTAAAATATCCTTTTTCCTTTGTTTTTGAGTGAAGAGATGGTATAAATACTGCGTATAAGAGACTAACTCGATACCTCGCCGAGAACTTTTTTTGCAAGAACCTCTTATAGAAGATCATTATCTTCAGGAAGTAAGTATTTTTATTTAAAAGTTTGCCTTTGACAAAAAGTTTGACTTAGACCTAACTCTAGATAAGANAATATAATTCTTAAAATTTATATTGTAATTGAATTGAAATGAAACTTATGTTTTTAAAATTAAAAAAATTTAGTTACTAAAATGAAATGAAAGTAAAAAATTATAAAAAATAAGAATTTAACTCAAATTGTACAGTAGCAATAATAATAATATTAAAAAAGTGTCTTTCTTCAAATCAAATTTAAACTGTGTGATCAAACAAAGTCATTAATCTTTGAATTACTATTTAATATTTTTAGACCGTACCTTGAATAACAGGATATTTAAAAATGAATCGAAAACAGTTAATTTCCAATATTAATTTAAAAATATTAATATATATAACAATTTCATTTTTGTATTTATACGAGGGCTGTTCAAAAAGTATCGGACTTTTACTCCGCAAAAATACATTTATTAATTTTGAGGTACAAANACCTAACTCTAGATAAGAGTAAATCTTCGAAAAATTTACAAGTTTAACATCAAAATATTATTCTAATATATACATAACTTTTTTCCTCTAACTTTTTTTTAAAGTATTTTTTATATTGAAAAATGATCTTGAAATATTACTGAATTAGTTTCATATGATATAGAATTCTGTTTCAATAAATTTTGAACGTAAGTATTTATTATTAGTATTACTTTAATACGAGTGATTATTAATTTTGAGACATTTGCAATGCATTACAATAAAAATCTCTGCTTAACAGACTGTTCAGGGAGCTTAGGTTTGTAGCAAAACATTCCAAAGAGTTCGGTAAACTGATTTTTATAATGANCATTACAATAAAAATCTCTGCTTAACAGACTGTTCAGGGAGCTTAGGTTTGTAGCAAAACATTCCAAAGAGTTCGGTAAACTGATTTTTATAATGAGTCTATTATTTTTTTTTAATTTAACAGTTAGACATAAAAAATCGGCAAGACTTGACTATTATTTGCATGCTTTATATCTATCATATCAAAAACAAAATTTTAGGGAGTAGGCGCAAAGTGATAGAGTTTACAAGGTACTATATAACTTATTTCTGAAATACGAATAATTTACTGAAAGTCGGCAAATATTTATTATTTCACTTACTTGCAGATATTCATCGTGTTTCAGATAAACTAAATGGAAAAGTTCAGCAAAATTTATTTTTATAACGAATCTATTATTTTTTTAAAAATTAACAGTTAGACATAAGAATTTAGCAATTATTTGTACGGTTATATCTATCATATGACAAACAAATTTTAAGGAATTACAATCAGAGTTTCGTTTTCTTGGAGTTTAATATTCTTTAAACTCTTTCTTAATTATATTTAAATAAGTACTCAGTAATATAAATTTAAATGTATAGAAATTAATTAAAATGATAATATTATTTTATTAATTTAAGAATTATATTTTTACAGATTTCACATTAACAATTTGATAAAATGGATGAAATAATTGAATATAATCATGTTATAATATCAAAAATTGAAAGGCAAGACGTTTGGTATATTAATAAACATTCAATATGGTTAGTAAAAAGTGTTTATGTATGAAATCTTTTCGTTATTTTCTTATTAAATATAAAATAATACTAATCCTAATTTTTATTCATATAAAATTACAGAATGCGATTCTAATAGATTTTGAAGCATTTCAAGTGAAAGAGCATGAAATTATTTATCGACAGTTGGTGATAAAAACATAACACAGTCTTATAGAAGTTGTAATAGACATTTATATAGATTCTGTTAAAAAGTATCAATTATAGGCGAAAGATAAATGGCAAGTCAATTTTACTAGCAAAAAAAATTCATGGATTAAACATCGAATATAACTGGTTGGATTAAACATAGTAATTTACAGAAGTTATTAAATCATTTCTTAATGTATAACGAATTATTTTTGTTTAAAGGTGAATAGATAAGAAATAGAAATATTTTTAAAAACTGGAGCTACAGTTATTTACACATCGAACTTCTTTTGGTGTCTAAGATTGAATAATATTAAAAAATTTGTTATTACCACAAATATTTTAAAAAAGCATTGTTCTCTTTACGATATTTAATGAATAAGTAACAAATATAATTTAAATAATTATTATATTGAACTATTTCCCTATTTTACTTTTTCTTATTGTTATAATATGATTTTAAGTTGTCGTGTTTTAATTTACTTGGCTATTAGAACAAATTGTAAAAATTATTATTGCAAATTAATTTTATAATAATTAGAAAGAATATATTAAACTTTGCCTTATTGTTTCAAGCTATTTTATGAAAACTAAAATGAAATAAAAAGTTTTTTAAATATTTATAAACTTAATTTAATCGAGAAATTTTTTATCTGAAAATAATGTATATTTTGAAAAATTATTAGGTGCAGAAGTTTCTTGCTTTAGATAAACTGAAGGAAAATGTGGAAACACTTAAATAAACTGTAACGTAAAAAAACAACCTTTTCAAAATAATTTCAGTCTTATATTATTTCAAACTGTCATGTACCAGAATATTAAGACATTATTTCTTGACAAGAATTAATTATTTCTTGATGGAGATATCCATCAAGAAATAATTAATTCTAGTATTGATGATAAAAATAAAAAAAAAATTGCTTAGGTGTTATATTATTTCATACAATTATTGTAATTTTAATTTATTCGATAGTAATTTACTCAAAAAATTAATTTTGTGATTTGAAATAATTCCATTTAACAAATTTTTATTTGCAATTTTAATTTAATCGACATCTGAAATTAATTTTGTGATTAGTGTGTGTCAAACCACTACTACTACTGTTTTTATTAAATTTCTCAATATTTCAAACACAAAAAACTAGCACTTTTCAGTTTAAAGCTAACAATTTTTTAAATTTTCACACATTTAATGACGTAAGATATGTAAATAGCCGTTTATAATATTAATGTAGTCATTAATCTGTATTCGCTACTAAAATTATTAACGTGAATTATTTATATCATAAATCATATAAATCGCATGATCTATATTTAGTTAATTTGTTTAGATTTGCATATCCATAATAAAATATACTGACTGCATTTTGATTATAGTCAGAAAATATTGATGTTTAATTGATCACGATTTACGTACGATTGTAAACAAATATCGATTACATGAAACATGTGAATTTGGAAAATTGGAGTACTTTGTTTACATCGATGATGCTTAAACCTTCTGACTCATAGGCCGGATGTGACTAAAACATACCAAATATGTTGATGCCAGATCAAGATAAGACCTAGTTCGAACATCAATGGTCTAGTGGTCTACTAAAAATACGAATTACAAACTAAAATATTTCATATTTGAAATGAATTTTTATATATTGTTTACCTTTTATCGATATTGGACGTTGCTTCGTCCATAACAAGAATTTTGTTCTGACGTAAAAGAGTTCTGGCCAGACAAATTAACTGTCTTTGTCCAACACTGAAATTTCGGCCTCCTTCCGTTAAATGTGTATCCAGTCCTCCAGGCAATTTACTAATAACTTCTTTTAACTGCACCTTTAGTTCGATATGTTTTGATAAATTCAACATAATTGAGTTTTTTCATTAAAACGAACTAAACATGAAAATGTAATAATTGAGTTAAATATATAATTATTGCTTACATCTTCTAACACTTGCCACATCATTTCCTCTGAATATTCATTGAAAGGATCAATGTTTTTGCGAAAGGGACCAGTAAATAACATCGGATCCTAAAAAAATAAATATAACTTCTGTAATAATAGCTGGCTGTTTGCTTATATGTATTCAGTTATGCTTTTTATAATTATAATGTATATATAAAGAAATATAAATAAATACACACACACACACACACAAATTTTTTAATGTCATTGTTACCGCTAAAGCTCGAAACTCGTTAATCTGCAGATTACCTAGCTAATCTGCAGATTAACTAGCGTGATCCGATAAAGTTGTGAAAATTGTTCCATTTCTCAAATTACCTAGATAATGCGCAGAGTATCTAGGTAATCCGCACATTACCTACTAGGCACTCGGTAAAGTGAAAATAAGATCTTTACCACAAATAAATGTACCACAAATAGGTGTGATTGTCGTAGAAACCAATTGCTATGAAATTCAAAGTGTCACCAATCTTTAGACTGCACAATTGGATAATGTTACCTATGGTGGGTAAAATTGCGGCTCGTCTCTGATTCCAGCAAACAGAAGAAAGGAAACAGTGTGGACGTACGTTCTGTCCTAACCTATCCTATTCTAATAATTTAGTTGGTAATAATTATGGTAATTTATTAAAATAGGTTAGGTTAGGACAGAAAGTGCGTCCCCACTGTTTCCTTTCTTCTGTTTGCTGGAATCAGAGATGAGCCGCAATTTTACTCACCAAAGGTAACATTAACTGCATATTACATCATGCGATCACCAGAAAAAGTATGATAACTTTATTATTTTTCGTTTCTGGTCCAAAAGTAGGGTATCGTTGAAGTCGTCTCAGTCCCCTCAGTTCAGATAGATACTCAAAGTCCCGAAATTCCATAGGTGGTTATCTATATAATAATTTCCCTAATTGTATTAATATTTTAAATCGTTTGATTTTTTATATGTTTTTTAACTGGTTGATGATTGACTATATCAATTAATTTGTCGATTGTTTAATTGTATTAACTTGATTCTTTAGATATCGAAAATAAAATAAAGAACATTATGTTAATTTAAGCGTACAGAAACGTTGATGTTGTTTCAGCAAAGATTTTATTTTCACTTTACCGAGTGCCTGGTAGGTAATTTGCAGATTACCTAGATAATCTGCACATTACCTAGGTAATTTCAGAAATTGAACAATTTTAGCAACTTTAACGGATCACGCTAGTTAATCTGCAGATTAGCTAGGTAATCTGCAGATTAACGACTTTCCGAGCTTTAGCGGTAACATCATAACATAACTGGTTCCGCAGTAAGCACAGCCACTTTACAGATGTTTTAGGCATTGCAAATGTTAAAGTTACATTTACAAAGTATAAGAGTAATATGCATTATAGCATAAAGTATTACAATGAGAGGTTGGTATATATCCAGAGTGGCCAAGCTCCTTGATAGTCCGAGCCATTTTTCAAAATTTGAAATTTTTCGCGAGCTGCAATTAAATACGTATTAAAAAGGTATGCAAAAAATTCCAGAATACAAATTATATCCGTAGCAAGAGGGATACAAATTGTTTCCTCCAGAGCACAATGTCAACTGTCCGTTGCAATGACAGTTTACAAATTCAAAATCGGTCTGGAATCGGTCGGTTACGCCACTGTTTATGTTCATTCACGCAGTTTTCGATGAGTCATATCATTCTTAACTTGGACAGAAATGAAATTTATTACAACGTTGCACTTAGTCTTTCATATTTGTTGTTAGTAATATAAAAGACATTTTGAAACACATACGGAACGATAATAATTTTTAAAAATATAATAACACAAAAATGAAAAGGGAACTCGGGGACATCTATTGAGAGCCACAAATAATACTTCAAAGAGCCGCATGTGGCTCGCGAGCCGCAGGTTGGCCATCCCTGGTATATATGTTATAAGTTTACAATTAATAGATTAAGAATAAGTATACATGTGTTGTTTCATATATAAAAGAGAATTGTTATAATACGCGAGACAAATTTTTCTCGCGTTGGGAAGGGCAGGACAATGTGTATGAAAGTTGTACAATAAATAATGGGTTATATGTAACAGAAGAAATACAAAATATGATAACTACATTGAAAAGATTAAGGCTGTCAGGAACTAAATGTTTACACTTAGAGTTCGAATCATTCATCCTGCATCGTGAACAGTCCTTGCTCTAGCAATTTCTATACTGGAAGATTTCTTCGCAAATTCCTAGAAATTTAAACAGTTAATTCATATAGCATCATGCTAAAAGTCTGAGTGATGCTTAGAAGAAACCCCTAAACATTCAATTCACATTTAAGTTACAGTTGTAACCTTTCAATTTGAATCCATAAAATATCCTTGTCGCATATGCTCTTGAAAGTAGGTTCATAGAACAATATTTTAGAGGCACAAAAGAGAAGAATTCACCATATATCACTTTATATCTCTTTAATACACTAAAATTCTTGCAAAGATTCGGTACTGTTGCAGACCACTATAGGAACATTCTCCCACTAGAAGAGCCCAATCACATCTTCATTTCTGTGTTGAAATTCAATGTAATATCTATGTAGAGTGCTGGGAGGCTTTATGAAGGAGTTAAGTATGGATGTTTACGATTTTGCCGTAGCTTTTAATTATATTATAAAAATAAATAAATATTCCATTATTGTTCACAAGGTCATTATGAGAGCATGGCCAAGAGTAACCACGGCTAATGAGGATAGATTTGAGTTGTTGTCTTTCTCTTTCAAGCATTACGCAGTTGAAGATATAATGAGTGCTCCCATCTTCAATTTTACAAGTTGGACATTCTTTATTGATGTATTAAGTAAATCTGTGTAGGTACTTGGCAAATTTACCATGATCGGTGAAAAATTGAGTGGACCAAAAGCATGGTTTCATCCATGTGTATTTAAAGATATCTTTAATGGTTAAAAAAAAATTTGTAAGTAATTTTACTCTCATTGCTGTTCCATTTTTTCTGCCAGTTGTTGAGCATATTGCTCCAAAGAAGGCCCTTGATAGTATTCAAGCTGACCTTGTTATAAGAAATTATAAGCTGATCATTATTAGCATCATGTTTAGCCAAGTGATCCGCTCTTTCATTGCCGCTAGTCCCCCTATGTGTCATTACCCACTTGAATTTATAGTCATTATTTGAATTTAGAACAGACTTTTCAATAGCTGTAGACAATGGGTGAGCTTTAGTGCTTTTAATTGTGGCCAGTGAAGAAGCGCTGTCACTACATATTGTAATTCTTGTAAAAAAATAATGTTGATTGACCCAGATAAGGGCATTAAGAATTGCGAACATTTCTGCCTGAAAGACTGTAGAAAGTTCTCCCAGACGAAACATTTGATAAGCAATCTCGATGTTACTTGAGGAAACCACAAAAGCACATCCTACATTCCTTTCATTTTTAGAGCCATCAGTAAAAATCACTATATCGTTCTCTTGATCAGTATCTGTAATTTGGATTGGTAACTCACAGGGATTTGGGAGTAAGGACAGTGGTGTCGGATGTTTCAAATCTAATGCAGTTATTGTACCAGTATTAATTTGTACGTCTTCCCCCCATTTAAGGTGACTGATCTGACTAAAATAATCAATATGCATCTCAATAGGTGGTTTTCGTGCGATTACCTGAAAGGCAGAGGTAGGCGCTGTTTTATAAGCTTTCGTCAGTAAAATTAAGGCCTTCCTCTGGGCCGAGTTAAGCTTTCTTAGGATGCACCTTATGGGATGCCCATCCCCAACTACTACAAGCGTACGTAATTGTTGGTATGAACAGCTGGTTGTAAATAATATCCAAAGCTTCAAAAGGCAAACCCCATGTACGATGAGCCACTCTGAAGAATGTCTGAAAAATCAGACCCGTACGTTTGGTTATATAGGCTATGTGTGCATTCCAAACTACTGTCCAATATGACTCCCAGATATTTAAGTGTTTTGTCAATTTTTATCGACACACCTCCCATTTTTACGCTTGGAACTCGGAGAAATAAGTTTGGACGGCCAGGGAGATTAAACATAGTGCCTTTTGTTTTGTTTGCGTTGTATTGCAGTTTGTTTTCTTTGTCCCAGTTGTGTATTTTTTCTAAGGTTGTTCTCCCTTTTTGTTCGAGTTCGTCTTTTTTGTTTCGAGTTCGTCCTATCAATATCAGCAGATCGTCTGCATATGCGATCATTCTCTCCTGACCTAAATTTTGATCAAGAAGTGAATCTAAGGTAATTATCCAAAGTAAAGGTCCTATTACCGAGCCTTGTGGGCACCCTCGGCTAATATTTCTTGTGATCTCTTGATCTCCCTGTATCATGATAGCATGCCTCTCATTAACATAGTCTTGAATGATTTTATACAGATTAGAAGGGCATTTTTTTTGTCTAAGTTGTGATAAGGTCAGAGGCCACCATGTGCTATCAACCGCCTTACTTATGTCTAAACTGATGGCAAGAACTTATTTGTAACCATTATTTAATAAGTAATTAGTTTCCTTGGTTACAAAATGTATTGCATCAGCAGCCGATCGTTGATTACGGAAACCATACTGAGAGGTGTGTAAGAGTCGATGGTGTTCCATATGCCAGTAAAGTCTGTTGTTTATAAGTCGTTCCAAAGTCTNCTATCAATATCAGCAGATCGTCTGCATATGCGATCATTCTCTCCTGACCTAAATTTTGATCAAGAAGTGAATCTAAGGTAATTATCCAAAGTAAAGGTCCTATTACCGAGCCTTGTGGGCACCCTCGGCTAATATTTCTTGTGATCTCTTGATCTCCCTGTATCATGATAGCATGCCTCTCATTAACATAGTCTTGAATGATTTTATACAGATTAGAAGGGCATTTTTTTTGTCTAAGTTGTGATAAGGTCAGAGGCCACCATGTGCTATCAACCGCCTTACTTATGTCTAAACTGATGGCAAGAACTTATTTGTAACCATTATTTAATAAGTAATTAGTTTCCTTGGTTACAAAATGTATTGCATCAGCAGCCGATCGTTGATTACGGAAACCATACTGAGAGGTGTGTAAGAGTCGATGGTGTTCCATATGCCAGTAAAGTCTGTTGTTTATAAGTCGTTCCAAAGTATTGCCAAGAAGGGGGAGGAGAGATATTGGTCTGAATTCGTTGGGTTTACCCTGTTTAGGTACTGGAACGATACGAGCTATTTTCCAAGGATCAGGAAAAATCCTGTTTGGAGACACGTATTAAAAAGCTTATTTAAGTGGTCTGGAATAAGTTCCTATAGTTTGCGGGCTATGGTCGCCGTCATATTATCAATACCCGGTACTTTACCATTTTTTAAACAAGATATAGCACAATTTATTTCATGCTTTTGAAATTTAAGGATTACAGGAGTATTGATTGGTATATCACCACTGTTTCTTAACGCGCGTTGTCTAGCGTTGTCATCCTCAGGATTATCGACAATACAAAAACGATCCATCATTTGGTTAAAAACTTTTAAAAAATCGCAGTTTAAGTTGTCGCGTGCGTCGTTGACTAACGCTTGAGGTTTACGTAAACGGTCAGTACACATTTTTGTAATGAACCCCCAAGGGTTCTTTGTGGCTTTACTACAATATTCCTTCCAAGATGTAAATTTCATTTGTTTCAATTCGTCTTTATAATTTTTTTGAAAGGCCTGGTATTCATTTTTAAGATTTGTTCGTGCGGGTTCACGTCTACATTTTTGGAAAGCACGTCTCTTTTTGTTGCAGGTCTTGCGTAATTCTGTGAGATGAAGTGTCCACCAGGGTACAGGCCTTCTCTTCATTTGTGTTTGCGAAATATAGAGATGACAGGCTTTATTGATTATATCAATGTTTTGGGTAATCTGATTTCTAATATTAATAGGATCTTCCAGATTATATTCTGAGAGGTTTGTTTCAAGATAATTTTGAAGAGCCTCCCAGTCTGCCCGAGAGATATTATAGCGAAGACGTGGATCATAATTTGATTGAGTCCTGGAAGTTTGAACAACGATATTAAATGAAATATACGAATGGTCACTCAGTGACTCCTCATCAAGAACCTGCCAATCCATGACAAGAGACATACTCAGATTGTTGGTAACAGTGACATCAATCCAAGTATCACCATTGTGGGAGTGATAGGTTGGCGGTGAGAGGGGATTGTTAGTAACCAATAGGTTATTAGCAAAGAAAAATTCTTCAAATTCCTTCCCTCTGTTGTCTAGCTGTTCCCCTCCCCAAGTTGGAGAATGTGCGTTGATGTCGCCTGCCACAATAATACGATTCCCATTGAAGTGGTTCATTATAGTTTGAAGGCGTTCAGTAATGCAACTAGTAGGAATTTCACGTGGGCAATAAATATTGATTATTATAATTTTGGTAGTAGCCGCCATTAATTCGAGACAAGTAATGTATTCGTTACTGTAATTTTTGTGGAATAAAATGGGCAAATAAGTATTTGTTATGAGGATGGCTGCCCACGGGTACTCAGAAGTACCTTTAAAGGTAATACAGTTTGAGGGAAAACAACAGAGAAGATTATTTAAACAATATGGTTCCTGTAGTAATATTATGTCATAATCTTTTAATTTAGTATTAAGAATAGAAGAAGCGGCTATACTCCTTCTGAGATTAATTTGTAGAATATGTATAGTACTAATCTTTGTATGGTCCATAGTCGGTGTTATTTATGATTTTGTTTTTAATTCTTTGAAACACCGGACAGGAACCATGACAAGCGTTATGTGTAATATCCCTGGCTCTCTCAAAAATGCAGTTACAACAGGTTGGTGACTTATTACTATTAGTGCAGTTTCTGTACAAATGGTCACCCCCCAGTGACTACATGTATTGATTGTTTGCTCACAGTATTTAGTTAAATGACCATATCTACAGCAGCGTAAGCATTGTAAAACAGGGCAAAAGTCCATCACCCTGCATCTCGACCATTCTATGTTGACTTTCCCGAGATCTAGAATTTGTTTTCGTAAATCAGGGGTTAGTTCTATAATCCAGTTTCGATAAGGGCTGTTTTTCTTTTACAGCATTAAATTTAACTCTAAAATGTGTATTAAATTATTCAAGTGAGTATTTATTTTTAAGTGTTTCATTATGTTCAAGAATATGAGTAGGTATAGATTCCCTTGCAATAGTATTCGGAACTGAGTGTACCATTATATGAGGAAGCTTCCCTTTTGGTCGTCTTGTTGTTAAATTGGGTATTGTTGTTGAAATATTTTCTTCTAATGTCAAGACATTTTCGGGTCTACCCATTTCAATGGCAAGGCCACCACCTCCAATTTCCTCATGCGATCGACACTAATGTTAATTTGTGATGGACGAATTTTTTCTTGTATTATTTTACGAATATTATCACTATTTCTTAAGGAATCTTCCTTACCATAAATTAGTAAAACTTCTTTGGATTTGTTTGTATTGAATGTGTTTTTAGGTGTTTTTGTAATGTTTGAGTGATACGTTTGAAGAGCGTCACTGTATGATAATTGATTTCTTTTTGAAATTTTGTTTCAATCTAAATCAGTAACATTATCAAGGACTTTCTTTTGTAATTCAATTATCTCAGATTTAGAAACAGTATCCATTAATTTATCAATTTTATCAGATAGTATACTTATTTCGTGCCTGTAAGGTTTATTCGTAAAAATGTCTATAACACTCTCTACATAGTTTATAATAAATTCCGAATGTTTAGGCGTACATAGTTTCCTTCCATTATTTTCTGCTATGTAATTTTTTGCTTCATTTACGACTTCAAAAGCAGACTCTCAAAGCTCTTCCATGTTTAATGAATAATTGTTTACTTCCATCTTAATATAATTAGTGTATTAAAATTACAACAAAGAATTATTAAACTGTACGAGAAAATCGCACTTTCCGTTAAATATTGAATTTAAGAGGTCAATGTCCTTTACCATGGCAACGGATTGGAACAGCAATGTGTAAGATTGGAAAATTTAATAGAATTGCCATAATTCAAAAATGGCTAGAGGGATTGGAAAGAAAATTGCTACACAGATAACAAATATCGTTCGCTAAGAGATAGTGAAATATTTTTCCGAAATATGGTTCCGGAAGCCCGCTATACCTTGCCGAAAAATTACCGGAAAATAACGATATCTTTAAAACTACTGTGCCGATTACCCCGAAATTTGGCAAATGTACTCACAGTAGATGGGCGAATTTACTTTCGTCTTGCTGTTCGTATATATATGTTCCAGTAAAGCGATTCTATTTCTAAAATTGTTCAATGTGATGTAATTTCCTAAATTCTTGTTCGATTTCCACAATCTATACACCGTTACAATCCCCATGTCTTGTGGTTTCCAAAATTATATAACATTAGCTATCAGATGTAAGATTTCACCTAAGAACACAATTCTACTTTAGAGCAAAATTTCCTGCAGCCAGTCAACTTCTTGTTCCATCTCGCGCTCCAATAAATACAGTATATTAGTATTTCACTTTGTAATTCTATACTTAATTTGTCATCTACCAGATGAGAGTTATTGCTGATTGACGAAAGATTTTATCTCTGTAAAATGTTGATGATAACCCAAAATTCACCTAGTATAATGCATGTGAAGAAATGATAACCTTTTTACCAGTTCTTTTAAAAATCACGGTTATAATCATCTGATCTTAACTCTTTAGTTATTAGAGTTACTTATCGCTTTAGGAGTCTATGAAAAAAATTATATTGGTTGGAGATACGTCAACCTTTTTATGGAGAAACAGTTTCTGACATGTCTAGCCTCATCCTTTACTATTTGGCATCGCTATTGTGGCTTTGTCAGCAATTCGTATTATTAAAAGATCTTCTTAGTGTTTACGAGGTGAAAGAGAGAATAAAAAAAATTGCAATATAATGGGAATGAAAGTAATTTCAATAAAATTAGTAATAACCACTCTTTATGAGCAAAACGGAATGACGGAAACCGCATCACCACTTTTTTATTTTTCAGCATATTGCAGAAGAGATTTATTTAACGAACAATTTTTAAAAAATTAACTGAAATTTCCAACATTTTTCGGAAAATTCCGAGCATTTGGAAACTCTTTTCCATATAATTTTTTTTACTTTATTCCCATAAGAAATTTAAAATTCTCATGTAAGAAAAACAAAAAAGGACATTATGATATAATGTAAATGTGAAAATTAGCGAATCAATAATTATTTTGACTAAATTAATTATTATTTACTTGAGGAATGATCGAAATTTTGCTACGTAGATCCCGAAGACCTATATCCTTAGTAACGATTCCATCGATAGTTATCTTTCCTGTTGGTTCTGCCATACGAAATAAGGCAGCTATTATTGAACTCTTCCCTGCTCCTGTTCTCCCAACAATTCCTATCTGCGATTAATAAACAATAAAAATAATTTCAGACAATAATGGCATTACTATTAGGATTTTGCAGATATTCTACCTTTTCTCCTGAATGAATACGAAATGTTAAATTCTTTAAAACAAAATTTTTATCCTTGGAATATTGCAAAGAAACATTATCAAAACAAATTTCTCCATTTTGTGGCCAATCTGCTGGTGGCTGTTTATCGGGTAAACTTTCGTATGACGCTTCAGATTTCAATTTGCTGTAGTTCAGTATGCGTGCTACTGAGTGCATCTAAAAAAAGAAACTCTTTACGAAATAACAGAAAATAAAGAATGACTTAAATGTTTGTATTGTCTAGAGTTTTATAATCTTTTACACATTACATGCGACTACTTTTTCATTACTTACAATGTAAAAAGCCAAGGAGTTAGCTTTATAATTTACATTTCCTTTATTTTAAATGACTTGTTATTTGTAAATTACTATCGTATTCTTAAAACTTACGTTTTTAAAGTATGTAGCAAGTAATAAAAAGTTATAATTTAATACAGTAGAACCTCGAATACCCGGCTCTCGATAACCCGGCACTCCAGATAACTCGGCCACACCCTGGCAGGGCAAAAAATCCTTAGTTAATTAATTTTCATTATAGACAGCTTTATAAAAGTATAAAAGCTCTCATAAAGTATTTTTCTGAGGTCTGTCTTATCAGGTAAATTACTGTACACAGTGTATTCATTAATTTTCATTTTCATGTAGTAAAGGCTCTATGCCTTCATAAAGGACGTACTTTTCCTTTGTTTAAGGGTATTTGGGCAGTTTATTCTCTGTTATATTCTCAAGTAAACAATACATACAAGTACAGTACAGTATTTTCTGTGGAAACACTCGTAATTATTTTTTTAACCCCATTCCCGATAACCCGGCATTTTCACAAACTCGGCCACCCTTCGGTCCACATTAGGCCGAGTTTTCGAGGTTCTACTGTATTACTTATCTACTATCATTACTTTAGCTGTAAATTCTTTCCTTTTATGATAGAACAATGAATATGAAAATAATTAAGATATTTAAGAATTATGCTAATTAAAGTAGATGCTTGTAAGTACAGTACGTTTACAATTAATGTAAATTCACAGATTGTGTTAGTGTCGCGTTATCAAGTATGAAGATAATGTCAACATTCAATGAATATCATTTATTACACTTAAGTGTAATATTTATAAATTATTAAATAAGTAAATAATAATAGTTTTTAAAAATACCTGAAATTTCATTTCAGATGTTTGTTTAATAAGGACTTGAAAATACAGAAATATTATTAATCCATAATTCATAGCAAGTCCAAGTTTGCTGCCTGAATCATCTAAAATTGAAATTTTAAAATTGAAAGTTAACTTATAATATTTTAAAGGAAATTTATATATAAACATGAGTAAAACAAAGTATTTATGCATAGGAGGCGATAAAACGAACAGGAACTGGAAGAAAGAAAAAAGATTGACAGATATGAGCATTACAATTATCTTGGTATACAAATTCATGAAAAGGGAAGAGATGCATTAGAAATTAATACAATATTAGAACAAAATAAAAGAGCAGTTAAAATACTAAATGGAATATGTTGGAGTGAAGAAATAACTAGATCAAGAAAATAGGATATATAATGCTATTGTTAAAAGCATTCTGTTATACGGGGCAGAGGCATAGAGAATGACTGGGAAAGAGAAGAGAAAAGTAGCAGCAGTTCCATTTCAACCTTTGCATTGAGAAGACCGAGCAGAATCTCGTAAAGAGAAAGAATACCTAATGACCTAATGGTATTGAAAGAGACGGTTTTGGAAGATATACAGAGGAAACAACTTATTTGGTTTGGACATGTAAAAATAATGAGTAATAATAGATTCCTGAAAATGTCAATGAAATACATTTCACAAAAAAAAAGAAAAAAGACAGGAAGTCCCAGGAAAATTTAGTACGATAGAGTAACGTTAGCATGTACTGTAGTGAAAACGGAATTAAAGAGGAATTGTGTATGGATAGAAAGAGGTGGAGGTCGGAAATCGACGTCAGACTCCATAAACCGAATACAGTATAGATAAAATTATTAAATTTATGTTAATTTTATTTTAGTCTTCATTGTATACTTAGCTGTGACTGTACAAATGATGTGGCATTGGAAGTATTCATTGTATTGAATTGTATTCATTATATTGAATTTACTTTTTAAATATAATACAGTACCAAGTTTCTTCTCTAACTACACTTACGAATAAATAACTAAACTTTAGAAACCGTTAAAATGAAGTCTATTTTATTCTTTTATTTAACGTTTTCGTTCAATTAATTGACCATCTGGAATGAATCGAACAAATTTTCGAATTATAATGAACGAAACCGATTACGAAACGTTTTTAACTTTAAATTTTCTTAACATCTATTTCGGAAGTCCGTGAATAGATAAATAAAATTTATAGACTGATAAAGTACAAATATACGCATACACTAACTATAGATATATAAAAATAGAAGTAAAAATAAAAACTAATATTAATAAATAAACAAGTAATGACATAACGGACACGACTAATGCCTATTTTTTTAACTGTCCGTGCCGTTTTTTTTCCTTGCTGATATATTTATATGCACCCGCTCTTAATGCTGCGGAGAGATATTATAGGATTCTCTAAAGTTTATAGCCTGTCCTTCTAGATTGCTCTTGTGAATATGCCATGATTCTGCATATTCAAGATATCTCCTGTTTTGAATCTTTTGTTTTATTTCTGCTCTTTTCCATTTCACTGGAACTTCTGTTGGGTCTGCTATAACATACGTCGCTAAATCAGTCACTGATTGCTCATTCCGTACGTTCATTTTGTGCTCCTTTATTCTTTCTTTTAATAACCTACTTGTAGCTCAGTTCTTTTTTCCGCCTCTAGTCTTGTATGGGTATTCTGTAAATTACAGAAATAAGACTGTGATCTATAGCTTCCTTGTCCGTACATAGCATCTGGTATACTGTTAGATTCTTTTTAAAGATTATCGTTTTGTTAGTAGATGCTCTTATTTCGGTGTAAGAATTGCTTAAGGGTACCATGTATTTCATTACTGTGTATTCTTTTACTCTTTCCCATTTTAACAATATTACATACACTCAACGTAGAGGACGGGAAATGGGAAGTCCCATATCCGGTGGCACTATGTCAGATAATACAGACATTAGAGAATTCCATCTTAAAGAAATACGAAGTTCATATGCTAATATATGCACGATATGTCGAGATGTCTTGATTATATGAAAAGAAAAACCCGACATACAACTATTACTCTGAGACGTCAATGCTAACAAGTATCGCCTAGAACTCGAACTAGAACAACGATCAAAAGATACACTTCCTATATATATTAAAAGAAGTGGAAAAAGGAAAGAAAATCACTAATTAAGTTTACAGAAAGCCGACTTATAACCCGTTGATAATACCATGGACCTCCCGTGATCCAGCAAGTTATAAACTGGCAGCTTTCAGGGCACTTGTAAAACGAGCGTACATACATTACAACAAAGTGAAGGACAGACGTAAAAAATTAAAACACACCAAACAGCTAGCTTGGCAAATCCGAATCAATCAGAATAAAGTAAAGGCAATCAATAAATCAATAAAATAAAAATAGAAAAGACGATAATGAAGGTAATGAACGGGGAAGAGTAGAATAATACACAGTAATAGAATACATGGCACCATTAAGAAATACGTATAACGAAATAGAAGCATCTACTAACAATAACATAGTCTTTAAAAGGAATCCAACAGTGTACCAGATGCAACGTACGGACAATGAAGCTATAGAGAAAAGCCTTATTATTGGAAATTACAGAATACCCTTAAGGCTGGTATACACGGTAAGGAAATCCTCAAAGGATGTGCTTAACAGACGAAAAAAACTCGGATATAACTGGCTGGATCGAACATAGTAATTTACAAAACTTATTAAAATATCTCCCAACGTATAAAGAATTATTTTTATTTAAAAATGGATAGATAGAAAAAAAATCACGGTTAATTCTCAAAGGATTTCCTTACCGTGTATACCAGCCTTTACAAGACGAGAGGCGGCAAAAAGAACTGTACTCAATCGGAGCTACAAGAAGGTCATTAAAAGAAAGAATAAAAGAGCACAAAACGAACGTACGAAATGAGCAACCAGTCACAGATATGTTATAGCAGACCCAACAGAGGTTTCAATGAAATGGGAAAGAGCAGAAATAATACAAAAGTGTGAACCGCCGGGAAGGTGTAGGTCTCCCGAACCGGCAACAGGTCGTTAAACCCTTCTCACTGGTCAGGATTAAAAATTTACCGTTCCCGCAGTAACGGGATTAAATGTTTCCGGTCGAGTGGCGGAGGGAAGAGTGCCGTCGGTAAGAGGACAGGCGATATACGAGTAAAAGAACACATCAATTTAACAAGATAACAACGATTTATTAGCTACATAGATATTACAATAACTAATTTCAAAGGAAAACTCTGAGTCCCTAAAACGCGAAGGGCAGAGAGAGAGTTCACAAAAATTTTGTTCCATACCTCTTTCTGACGATAATCCTTTGAGGAAAAATTATGGTTCTCGTGTAGGAAAATATGATTAGACGTAATATTCGTAGGATACAGTCTTCGTAGGACACAGCATTCGTAGGATATAATATTTGGAGAATATAATATTCTTAAAACACAATATTGAAGCGACGGTGGATGAACGACTCCCCCGAGAGGGGGAAGCAAGTGGCTTTTATAGTTTCGTCGTGGGAGAATGGTCATGTGACCAATTGTTGTTAGGTAAAAGGTACGCGGATGGGTCAAAGTTGTCCCCGGGCCCATGCTAACTATCAACTTTGAAGTTGGAATGTGGGATTATTTTCGAAATGGACGGATGTTTACCCTGAACGAAAGGGGAGATTGGAATTTTTCCCTTTTTTTAAGTTAAGTTTTAGTTTAGGTTTTAAAGGAAAATTTAATTGGGGGTTTAGAAAAATGCGGAATATTAATCGGGAAATTAGGTAAAAATTTCGGATTTCACAAAAGATTCAGAACAAGAGATATCTTAAATATGCAGAAGAATAGCATATTCACAAGAGCAATCTAGCAGGACAGGCTATAAACTTTAGAGAATCTTATAATATCTCCGCAGCATTAAGAGCGGGTGCATTATAAATATATTAGCAAAGAAAAAACGGCACGAACAGTTAAAAATTAGGCATTAGTCGGTGGCCGTTATGTCATCACTTGTTTATTTATTTACTATTAACTTTTATTTTTATTTCTATTTTTATGTATCTATAATAAATGTATGCGTATATTTGTACGTTATCAGTCTGTAGATTTTATTTATCTACTAGCTTCAAGGAACCGCTTCGCTGGGTTTTTATTTGTTCGTACATTTGTATGTAATATAGTTGTTTTTATATATAAAAGACTGTTTTTCTAAGTAATCTAGGGTTAATGTCCAGAGTCGTAGACTGTCATGGCGGCTCTTCCTGTTTTAGCCTCGAAACCAGACCACTTTGGAGACGACGTGTCACGTGACGACGCGAGCGAACGGCGGCGGCTGTCATGGCGGCTCAGCGCTGATTCCAGCAAACAAAAGGTAACAGTGGGGACGCACGTTCTAACCTAACCTAACTTAACCTGTTCTAATAATATAATTGGTAATAATTATGATATTTTATTAGAATAGGTTAGGTTAGGTTAGAACGTGCGTCTCCACTGTTTCCTTTTCTTTTTGCGGAATCAGAGATGAGCCGCCATGAGTCTACGTATATTGACGTTAACCCGCGTGTCGGTTTTCCCCGTTTATCGCGGCGCAGCAGCCGCCGCCGTTCGCTCGCGTCGTCACGTGACACGTCGTCTCCAAAGCGGTCCGGTTTCGAGGCTAAAACAGGAAGAGCCGCCATGACAGTCTACGACCCTGGACATTAACCTAAGATTAATTATATTATAGCCAATCTTACCCGTTTTCACAGAATGCAAGAACTAGCGTTTCCAGACTAATTAGAGACCTGGTCCCGATTCTATTTCTGAACGTCTCCTGTTCACGTCCAGTCAAACGAACTATTTTCAACGTTTCTGGAACGTTTACAATCGTTCTATAATCGAACCAATATTCGAATTTTATGTTCGAATTCAAATTCGAAAATTGTTCGAATTAAATTCGAACAAAATCGAACATAAAATTCGAAATAGAAAACCACTTTCAGCCCCATATCTCCCGCACCCTTATAGCTATCGAGACGCAACCCCCAAAGTGCACGAATGAAGACTTGGGGCTACCACCACATACAAGCAACATTCATGTGCGATGTGTAGTTTTTTGCGGAAAAGTTAAATATAAACACACACGTCCATTTATATATATATATAGATTGACAAACTTACGCAATAAATGTTAAGAAAATTTTAAAGTTAAAAACGTTTCGTAATCGGTTTCGTTCGTTATAAATTGAAAATTTGTTCGATTCATTCCTGATGAAGGTCAATTAATTGACCGAAAACGTTAGATAATATAATAAAATAGACAGCATTTTAAAGGTTTGTAAAGTTTAATTTTATAATAAACCTTATCGAGTATTTACAGATATAATATACAGTCGACCCCCCAATAACACTGTTGATTATTCCGTTTTATATGAATTCCATGTTGTATGAGTCACTTAGATTTTACAAATACGTGAGCTGTTCACATCCCGTCACACGTATTTGTAAACTCTAATTCATATAAAACGGAATTATTAACCGTTTTATAGGGGGTCGACTGTATAGGGAGTATTCACAGATAGTATTCTCTCATCTGTAACTGTAAAAATTGATATATATTTACTTACCTGCATTAGGTGAAACACTGAAAGTTATTACAATAACAATTAAGTGTATAACTCCGATGATGCAGCCATATGTTGAAATCCATCGATTTAAAGACAGGAAAGTAAACCATGTTCCAGTGTGCTTATCCTGGTATTCATTAAATGTGGAAATAAATTTACTTTCAGCTTTAAATGCTCTGATTGTTGTAAGTCCATAAAGAGATACACTCAGGTGAGAGAATACCGGACTTCTCACTGTTAAAGTAAATTTATTTCATATAGGTTAATGATTTAAAAATGCATTTATTTTTTCCAACTGTTTAGAAGTTACTTAGCGAAAATTGATGAGCCAATAATTACAATAAATATTTTTACACATTATATAATAGAATTGTTAGAGATTTTTAATATTTACTACAACATTACTTATTTTACAGGATATATTTTAACCCATTTTCGTCATATGCTAATTTCATTGTCAGGTTAAGACCGTGAGTGGGATTCTAATGGCGAACGTGAAAGCCACAACTTTAAATAGGTTATAGCTAAGTAGAATTATTAAATAGATTGTAAGTTGATTGGTTTTGAGTTGTTCAATGTTTCCTCTTGTTTTCCAATAGCCTGTCATCATTGTATTCACAAATATCACTGGACAACTAGTATTGCCAAAAATGAATTCTATAATTTTATTTTTAACTTGCTTTTACAACATAGTGGCACAATTTCAAAAATCAGATGCTTAATTTCAAAATTACACATTGCTTGAAATATTAAAAAAAAAGCATCAAAATTTCTGGCTAATTGTTTAATACAGTCTGCATATATCATGTATATGTAATATATTACAAGTGATGTAAGTAAACTCATCTTAAATAAGGTTATGTTTCTGTACACAAGCTTTTGAAAGCCAAATCAGCAATCGGTGAATAAATGTTTGTAACCAGATAGTTGGTCCTGAGTACACGACTAGCCAACGCGATAGCAACCTAGAATTATCTGAGTTTTCTTTACATTTGTAACATAAATGGAAGACAATTTCCAATAGAAAGATTTTCTAGGTTTCATCCCTCCCATTGCTGTAACCAAATAAACCAAACCAAAAGTCGAATCACGTTTTGTCGTCATCAAGCATTATTGTAGAATGTCATAATATGGTCGTTTCGGTTACGTATTTTCGTAGTAACTAAAATAAATTCATTTAATTTTTGTGTTTCATTAGATAATATTAAGCAACAAGTTAAGTCATTGTAAAATTTATTTAGTAGGAGATTCGAATAAACCTGATAGCTGTTTTAATTAATATAAAATTTCTTCATTCTATTCAGTCAAATGCAATAACTTGAGAACACTTACATTTTCCTTCCCAATATTTTATGCTTTCCAACACCCGGCTATGGATTGTCCACAGAAAATAGAATATGATTGATAGTACAGATGTCAATATAAGTAAATAGGGAAGAATGATTGCTTCAACTATAAACACGCCAACAAAAAGAGAGTAATACTGAAAAAATATATATAAAGATCTTATACACTGTAGATAAAAAGTTATAAACATTCGTCTCACATTTAATGTTAATGTAAACTTACTTTAATCAATTGATGAAAAATAAATGGTAACGTATCGTCCATGTTACTAACATCTTTAGAAAACCGATTTAAAACTTTTCCTAGAAAATGTATTAATATAAAATATTAAGTAATTTAACAATGAATGGCCATTGAAACAAACTGGAGTTTTTGTAGACATTAACAAAGAGAACAGAATATAAGTGTTAGTATTATTGTAAAGATAAATTCATTTTACACTGTTATCTTTACTATTTATGCTCTAAGTACTATTTACTATATGCTTTAAATACATCTCAATCAAAAATTGTTTAAATTTCTATATATTATTAACAAAACCGTTTACGAATATAAGTGATATAGTAGATGAGAATTGAATACCAAAAGATTCATACATAAACTCACATTTGACAACACATTAAATTAAGAATTTTTACCATATTACAGTAAAAATAATATTTTGTTAAGTATATTAGAAAGTTTTTAAATTAAAATAAAAGAATTAAGAATATTTCACATACCAACAGGGTTGTTATCCAAAAACGATACTGGTGTTCGAATAATACATTTGAAAAATTTCTTATGGAGCTTAATAGATGCAGTTGTAAACAGTTTATTCAATAATATTGCAGAAACTAGCATGGTGAAAAATACTGCACATATCAAACCAAGATAAACATATATGTGAATTTCTTGATGTTGATGAAAAGTATCACTCATAGTGCTGTTCAAAAGTTTCGTCTTCGATGCAATGTTTTCGATTTTATGCGCACTCTGGTTATAGGATCTTGTATCTTGCAACCTGAAAATCGTATAAGAGATAATCGAAAATTGAAAAATTCCAGAAATTAAAATGTTAACAGACTTAAATGAGAATAAACTACTTAAACTCAATTAAAAAGATCAGTACTTATTAGTAATATACCGAATTTTCGTCATTATTCGGTAACTGGGTATATTCGCTCAAAAACTATTTGTTATTTTGGATAATATTAAATACAGTAGACCCCTATAAAACGGGTTCCTATAATTACGATTCCTATAAAACTNGACATTTAGGCGGGTAAATTGAGTTTAGTTTTGTCTGTATTTATAATAATATATAAATCATATATAAATTAGGTACTGTATATATAATTATATATTAACTGAATTTATTGTAACTTTATTATAATTATATATTTTTTTTCCACCGCGTAACGCTACGCTACAGACAGTTTAGGCTAACTATTGTCTGTACAGTATGTAAATTAGGTACCGTAAGTCTAATACAGTACTGTAATTTTATACATTTCTTGTAAAAGAACATTTTTTATTCAACGGCGATTAAAATTATTTATATTAATGATGTCTCCAAAGTTCAGCGAATTTTTCGCAGAAAAATAAGTTATTAGAAATCGGCCGCGGTTTGCTGAGCTGTTCCGCGACGAAAACAAGCTTAAGCAATGGCGATGTCGAATGGTGCACACTCGGTAAGTAATCTTACAATTTTTTGTTTATAGCGTGGTTTATACGGATTATTCCCAAAAATAATATACGTATTTTGAAAATGTTGAGTCGGATTAGTCTAGAATCGATTAATTTTATGGAAGAAAACCTTTCAATCATGCGTAGTCCCTAAAATGCACACGTGTCGGGCGGTGATTGGAAGGACTCGTAAGAAAGTGGATTCTTAAAGAATGGAACGTATCTATGATCTTATAGGGAGGTCAACTGTATGTATATTCATTATTTAAATCATGTACTTCCTCAAAGCCGAGATTACTCGACTAGTAATTTCATTTTATTGTTTAGAGACAACGATAGAGAGAGAAGGAAGAAAAAGTGAAACAAAAATTTAAAATAAAAACATTATTCAAAACTCTAATTCTGCTGTAATCAAAAAGTATCAGTTGTGGTTTATTTGAACTTCATGCATACAAGAGAGCGCTGTCATCGTTTTGGTTTATTCTTTCATACGAGTTTCATCGATATGCAGCAGCAATCTGTATGTCGTTGTCTGTATTCTTTTACAAGCAAACTATTTTTTTGTGTAAAGAATATTTTTGTGTAAAGACAATTTTTCGAAATGGTATGTGTAATTGAGCAAATATATATTGTGTCCGTAACGGAATTATTGCTACAAAAGCGTTAAGAATGTAGCCAAAAGCATCTTGTGAAGATATTTTTTTTCAAAATCCGAAATTCTTAAGTACAAGTTCTTCGAGGAAGACGCAGAACAGATCGAACATGAAGCAGGCTCTGATAGACCATCCACTTTAACTGATAAACAATACGTTGTTGAAATCAGAGATTTGGTACTGAATAATTGTCATTGAAATATTATGAACATTGATGAACATGTTCCAGTATAATTTGGACCTTCTAAAGCAATTTTAAAAGATAATAAGAGCTTGAGGCGCATTGCTTTTCGAGTCGTCCTGAAATCGTTGAATTTTTTCCAAAAACAAAAACGTCTTTAATTAAAGTGATTGAGAAAATGTTTCTCAATCACTTTACAAACACTTCACAATCACTTTTCCTGTTTTTGTGACTGAAACTACCGCTTCTTGGTTACCGTTTTGAATCGATTTATGCCGTAAAACAAAATGGCTGCAAACCCTAAAGCATTTCACAATAATAATTTTAAAGCATGTTTCGGAAATTGGAAAATACGTTAGCATATATTGCAATAGAAGGGGATTACTTTAATGGGCTCAAAATAAAATTTTAGTGAACAAATTAAAATATTGCGTTGTATTGAACCATTCCCTATACTGTTTGATAACATGGGAATTTTACAATATTGTCATTTAGATTTTTTCAAAAGAAATATTTCATAAATTATTAACAGGGTGTCAAAAGCTTGAAGAGTAAAATCAAAAATTTGCTCTAATCGAAAAGTTAGTAGGTTCCCCTGTACAGTACTTATTTATTTGAATTTTGAATATATCTGAATTTTTCTACTTCAATATTTGAATTTGCCATATGCCTTCAAATGTGTATTTTGCAGCAGATCCCGTAACTATCTGAAGTACCTCCTTTACTAGTAATAGTAGCAGAAGAGTGAAAATTTTTAATGAAGGGAACGTCTTCAATGCATGCATAAAAATAAATTTTGCTTCTTGTGATAAATATATTCAACTTTGCTGAAGAAACTGTGAGTTTCCTAGAGAGGCTATTTCGTGATCCTGCCTAAAGCAGAGGGACTCAATGGCAAAATTTAGTTTTACACTTTTCATCATCATATAACTTTTCTTATTCGAATAACAAATGAACAAACTATTAGACTGCACATATTATTTTATGCTTTAAATAATGAATTGTGGTTTCTTCTATTAGAGTGGTATTATTGGAGTAAAATAAATAATCGTAATTTTTCAAAATAATATTTTATATAATCTTCCTTACTAAATACTGTATATTACGCTTTCTCTATCTTACACAAAGCATTTAGAATTTTAAAGTTTTTAATGAATCAGCTGATATTTGATCGATCTTTAGATTTTGAGAAATTTAAGAAAATTTTGTATCTGGCATTTGGCCAAATATTTTTAGGTTTACTTTTGGATTTTTATTTCGATGTTTGGTTACTTAAATAGAATATTTAGAAATAAAATTAATCATAATGACAGTTCCTAAAGTATTGGCCTATTTCAAATATGCAAATATATTTCATATTTTTAATATTTTTTGTTAAATATTTTCTTAAAGGAAACTAGTTTCTACTCAAAACATTCTAATAAAAGCGTACCATTTAATTAGCCAAAGGTCGCTGGCACTTGTAATGGATTGCGATATAATTAGCATNAATATAAATGGAAAAAAAATATTATATGGAATTCAACGAAAATGAAAATTTGCTTGATAATTCAACTACGCTTGTTGGAGAACAATAAAAACACTACACTCAACAAGCCACCAATAAAACTCAACTGCCTAACCTATTACCAAAGTCTCCTTTTAATTTGTTTTTAAAAAAAAGAGCTTGACAAACTTGCCCCGCATGCCGAAGTTGCCCCGGTCCTCCCTATATTTAACTTTGCTGAAGAAACTGAGTTTCCTAGACACGCTATTTCGTGATCCTGCCTAAAGCAGAGGGACTCAATGGCAAAATTTAGTTTTACACTTTTCATCATCTAATAGCTATTCTTATTCGAATAAAAACGAACTAATTATATTTCATATAATCTTCCTTACTAAATACTGTATATGACGCTTTCTCTACCTTACACAAAGCATTTAGTTTTTTAAAGTTTTTAATGAATCAGCTGATATTTGATCGATCTTTAGATTTTGAGAAATTTAAGAAAATTTTGTATCTGGCATTTGGCCAAATATTTTTAGGTTTACTTTTGGATTTTTATTTCGATGCTTGGTTACGTAAATAGAATATTTAGAAATAAAATTAATCATAATGACAGTTCCTAAAGTATTGGTCTATTTAAAATATGTAAATATATTTGACATATATTCAAATCAATGTATCTGAAATATTGGAATGTTTTTATTATTTTTTGTTAAATATTTTCTTAAAGGAAACTAGCTTCTACTCAAAATATTCTAATAAAAGCGTACCATTTAATTAGCCAAAGGTCGCTGGCACTTGTAATGGATTGCGATATAATTAGCATAAGTAATGTAATAATCTTAAAGAAGAAACTCGCTCCGGCATTCAAATATACTTTATAAACTGACAATCCTACTGTTCCACAGCGTTCGTTGTCACGTGGTATTTGATTTTCTTCAGGTTCCTACAAGAAACAATTTGAAAATTACATAAGCTATTCGTAGTCTTATCTATTTCCAAATATTTTAATATGTGTCTGTAATAGAAATATCCAATATGTAAATTTTTTATTCTAATTCATGCACACATTGATAAGTTATTAAGGTCCACCTGAATACAGTATATGTTACATGTATATGAATAAAATAAAAAGTTAAAAGAACGAATAAGAAATTTCGCAGAAACTATCAACAATATTTCTTATAAAAAAAGGGCACGTGTCCGTTAACTATTCACAATATGAGAATATAGTCATATTATCATATAACACTGCATAATACTGAGAATATTTGGGGTGCCCTTGATCTATTCTTCATAAGAAGTTGTGGTGCAAATGTTTACAAAATATTCACATTATTATTAAGCGACTTAACAAAATTCGAAACTAATACTTACTGTATTAATGTCATCAATATGTTCAATGTCACGATACACATCAACTTGATTACTATTAATTATTTCATCGTGATTGATAAGTGCAGTCTCTAATTCTATGATATCTTCACAGATCTCTTGGTGTGATGAAATTTTTCTTACTATTTCAAAATTTTTCATTTGACTGTAATTGCCAAAGAATTCACATTTTCCCTGAAATTTAATAAGACGCATACATGTAATTATTTCACTTTCAAGTGTTAAAAAGTTAATTAATTAGAATTTCATCAATAACGGTAGCATGATTTCTATATAGTTTTATATACATAAAATTAAGAAAATCCATATAGGTCTATTAAATATAGTAATTTATTACAGGGATAGAAACATTATATTTTTAGCAGTTTTTCACAGGAACTTTTGTTTACTAATGCTATAATATTTTGTAATTGTATTACGACTAGTTTCATTTAAAAATAGTTTAAATTGCGGGTTTAAATTAAATCTTTCATCAGTAGCATAGCGTAGTGGGGGCGGCAGGGGCAGCACTTTTTAGGGGACGGCAAAATTTCACAATAAACAGTAGTAATATCTTGTAAAAATTTGAACCATTTCAAGTCATATTCTCGTCGCACCTACGATTCGGACCGATTGAAATGAGCACGGGGAAAATAGTTTTACCATCCGGACAGTACGGGAACCGACTCTCCGTCCGGGTGAACTATTAATTTTTCCCGGCGATACCGTGCGCAACCTTTTATTTTTTTTTATTTTTTTTTATTTTTTTGCTTGTAAGATTCGTATTCGTAGTACAAGTCTTCAATATCCAATAGAGTATGTCTTCTAGGTTACTTACGTTACTCCCACCCAAGTCTCCCTAGTCGCTAACTGTAACTGATTTAGAACCAGCACGTACAGCACATTATTCTTCCCATTGCAAAATGACATACGCATGCGTTCGGAACTTCTGTTCGAACAAACCTCACCTGCCCTCCGGGTCAGCGATTTTAAAAAGGTGGCAACACAAGCACGGAATTGTTCATTACTTATTCTGTGACGAAACTGAATTTTATTCTTTTAAATTGAGATACCTAAATAAGGGGACGGCGAAATTTTCCTTTGCCCCGGGAGGCTGGATTGTCCAGACATATCGCACTTTGTGAAAAGTACCGAATAATCCAGTTCACGTGTGTTTGTAATGCATTTTTGCAAATCAAAACAAAGATGAACATGCAGCAACTCACGTTACCATATAGTCAATCCTGATACAATATACAAATGCACTGTATTATTCTCATACTATTTATGGACAATGAGCGAAGACATCGACAGCATCAAACTATCAATATATGCAATATGCTAATTCAAAATGTTCATGCAAAATGTAAAACATAGTCTGCCTGGTGTTATCACGTCATGCGCACACTCACTATTTTGCCGATCGGTATATTTCTCATATACCGATCGGCAAAGTTTTGGTGACTGTTCAAAATATTTCTGTTTGAACAGTCACCAAAATTTTGAAGTTTATTATAATATTTCTAGCAATGTGTATTTTTCAATCTATGTATCTTATTTTTGAAACTACACAATTATATCGCAAAAAAATTAACAATAAAATTATAATCTTTACTGCTGGCAACAGTAATTGCTGAATGTTGAATTATAAGATAATAGTGCATAAATTTATAAAATAATTGAGAAACCAATCTGATAAACGATTAGTGACTTTACCTTTTTTAACACTAATATCTTACTTGAAGAGTTTAAAAATTGTATTTGATATGTAACTAGAATGCAAATTTTGTCTTTTAAGTATTCCATTATGCACCTGAAACAGATAAAAGTTAATACAGTTATATTAAAATATACAGAGTAAAATACTACTCAAGTATTTACTTTTGGAATATATGTTTTGCAACTGGTACATCAACAGCGCTTAGAGGATCATCAAGGAGGAATATATCGGCATCTAGGTATAAGGCTCTGGAAAATATAAAATATAACATCTCAAAAATTAAATTACAATGAAAATACAATAATCATTACTCATGCATCAGATCAAACACTGAAGTAATTTTTATACATTTTGGCCATCATGTGTATTCTTATTCTCTTATCTTAATTTTTGCTTTTAATGTACAGTACAACCTGGCAGTAGAATGTAATTAGTGTATTATTTAAAACTTTTTATGTTAAAACTTCGAAATATGTTGAGTTATACTTTATCTTATACTTAAAAGCATTTTAAGTAATGTTTTGATGAATTATCAAAAACGTCAAGAAAATTTGAGGCATACCCTCATTATTACTTAATCATTAATTGATTAACTAATCTGTGAAAAACAATGATATTTGTTTTTAACAGAACAAATGCTTGAACTTTTACATATTAACATTTTTGTTTTTAATAGTCTTACGAGAATTTGCTTAAAAATTTTGGATTGCTTAATACAGTCTTAATGCAGTTGTTATTCGTGTTTATATTGCTCACGTTTCTGATCGATTTCGGGCATAAAATAATATTATGAAAAATATTATTTACACCTGTTTTACAGGTAAACATACTTTGCTCACTTTGGGTAATTGTTCTTTACTTGTTATATATTTCTAGTAATTCTAACTAAACACACTTTATGTGTTTCAAAAACCTGTTTATTGCTTGTGTTGGTTTAGAGTAAGTTAACGTCTATGTTTTCAGCAAAAGTGAATTTCACCGATATAATTTTTCGAATCTTTGTTTAAACATGGTATCAAAAACCAGTATTTGGTGCTTAATCCTATATTGCCAATATAAAACATCAATAGATTCGATTCTTCCATCAATTCAAAGCTATAGAAAAATGGAAAAAATCTTTTATCCAAATAGCCATACATCTCGTTCGTCTGTACTTATTTAATCTTTGAAATATAAACATTTATCATTAACTTACATTAGCTAGTGAAACATAAGATTGTTCTCCTATGTACTTTCTTATAGAAATATAAGATTGTATTGATTAACACCTTTCTCACCTTGCTAAATTAATTCTTGCCTTCTGTCCGCCACTCATGATTACGCCTCTTTCTCCTACAATAGTCAGATCTCCTTTAGGAAGTAAGCTTATATCCTAAAATTATTAAAAAAGTATACATACATTATAGATAAAATCATATGTATTTACAATCATTTAGATGAAATGAGACCTTCAGTGTTATTTAACACAAAGAATTTTACAGAACTTTAACAATTTTTTTATAAAACATTATAAAACAGATGATTGCAAATTTTATTCATTTTACTAACAAATTAAGTAAATACGTCGTAGAGAATAGATTAAATAGATGCTCCTAACACTAGATTAACACTAGAGTCTTTTTCACATAGAACAACAGTCTGCTTCAAATTGAAACCAAATAAAAATTATCTGTATACTTAATAATACCTGGCATGTTATTAAGTTTCTTACATAACGTTTAAACCACTTATTATAAAACCCGTATTCGAAAAGTAAAGATGCAATGCTCATAAAAATCCAAGGGAAAATTATTTTTTAGTTTGCTCCACACCATGTCTGTTCAGGTCAGATGACTTTAATTCCATCATAGTATGCTTGTAGTTTTTGGTTAACAAAATCGTGTCAATTTTAAATCCTGCCAATTGCGATGGTTTGTTCGGTGATTCGTTCATCGACGACTTGTATCTGTTTATGATATAAACGTTCTGAACAGTTAGAACATCACCAAATGAAATCCTACTGCTAGATTAAGCCAGTCCGCACAATGCTTACACTACACAAGGTTTCTTGCAAACATTTAAGTGAGAAGTTTTTGAATATCCATAATACGTCCAAGCAGTAGCTTAGCGTAGGGGGACGGTAGCGGCGGTCCGTCCCGGGCGGCAAAATTACGTTTTAGGGGGCGGCAAATTTTCACAATAAATAATAATATCTTGTAAGAATTTGAATCATTTTATTTCATATTTTCGTCCACCTACTATTCGGACCGATTGAAATGAGCACGATACAGTTTTACAATCCGACTCGCCGTCCAGGAATGTCGTGCGCGACCTGTCGACCTTTTTTTTTTCTTTACGATTCATTCGTAATCATATATACCTCCAATATCCAATAGAGCTAGGTCACTTGCGTTACTCGTATCCAAATCTTCCTAGTCGCTAACTGTAAGTGATTTAGAACCGGCATGCACTGCAAATTATTCGCATTGCAAAATGATATGCGCATGCGTTCGTAACTTTCGTTCGAACAAACCTCACCTGCCGTCCGAGACAGCGATTTTAAAAAAGTGACAACACTAGCACGGAAATTTTCATTACTTATTCTGTGACGAAACTAAATTTTAGTCTTTTAAATTGAGATACCTAAATAAGGGGGCGGTGAAATTTTCCTTTGCCCTGTGCGGCTGACACTCACGCTACGCTACTGCGTCCAAGATCTCGCACTAAGCGATTATCAGGTCGAAGAGACATCTCTCTGCAAAGAACGTTGATTACAAGCATGAGGTTCAAGAGCCTATGATGCCATGGTTTCCAAGAGCACGTAGAAGATTTTTATATTATCGACACATAAAGCTTCTTTACAGGTTCGTCAAATGCATTGAGGTCTATAGTAACTAGACCGTTTAAAATAAATATGTTTACGTTTAAATGTTTAAAATAAATATGCTTTAAAGAAATTATAAGTTATTCAAAGTTATTCAATGTTTAATAAATATTTTCTGTATTTTGTATCTATACTTTACGCATATGTCTCGTAGTTAACTGACTGAACAGATTAGTTGACATAAATTTATTAATAACTTATATTTTTCGACGTTATACACAATGTTTCAGAAGTCCTTATCACGTTTTTAACCAAAAGTACGATTTAGATGCAGCATCTCGATGGTAAAAAAAATTTTAAAAATCTAAATACAATTCAATGAACATATTGTTTTACAATGATCACCTTCCACATGTGGAATTCCCAAAACCAACGGCTATTGCTATGATATTCTTGAGGTAAAGTTTTTTCAAAATATTTGTAAATAACATTTTACGCTCCGTTTCAGCCAAAAATTTCACTGAAAAAAATATGCGTTTCAAAACCAAGATCTTTGCAGTCATCCTTTCAAATACGTATCAAATGAACGAATAGATTTCACAGTTGACGACTAAGACTTCACGAATTGCAAATGAATAAAATTTACACAAATGAAAGTTATTTTGCAATTAATAAAACTTTTCACGAAACACGTGACATTATGCAGGATATAAGCGACGAATTTCACAAATTCAGAAAACTTAAACATTTAAGATGAACTATAATTGTGGTTTCAATTATATTTCACTTACTGTGCTAGTATGTATGTGTATAAAAGTGCAGAATACGAAATCTCAATATAATATATTGTAATAAGCGATATTGCGAATACAATATAACGAACACATCGCATATTAGTTGACAAAAATTTACTTTTCTAATGTCAATGAATAATATCATATGAAACATTTTATATACAGGCAAGCCATTATATTTTTACTGTAGCATTTCTTTGAAAGGAAGTGATAAACAATAGAACTGAAATTTATAAAATAAAAATTAAATTAATATAGCATACCAAGGTTAATGCATAAATGAAATTGAAATATATGAAGTTAATAAAAATTATTCTATAATTTCTTAACGATTAATAATAATAATTATTATACATTTCATTACTAATGGAACAATAAGATCATACTATAATTATAAATATGCTTACATATGATGTATAATAATAAATTTTCACCTTTACCTTTTAAATTGACATAAAGTTTTGTTAGTAAGGGAATAAACAATATTCTTACCTTTTCGAGAGCCGTTATATGCAAGACTTTTTTATATTTCCCTTCTTCATATTCCTCTCCGAACAAGATATTTTTTCTGATAGTTTCATTGAATACCCAAGCTTCTTGAGAAGCATAAGATATCTTTCCTTTTCTTGACACTTTACCAGAAATTATAGGAATTTCTCCCAATATGGACATTAATACGGAGGTCTGATAAAAGTAATAAACCGCTTTATTATTTAGTATAAAATACTTTAAAAAAAATTCTATCCACTTACATTATCTTTACAACTATTTACATGTTTACAAAAGTAAATACAGTAGTCTATTTCAGTTAATTGAATGTAAACAAAACACATGATATAACAAATGTTTTAAACTAGATTGATGACATCTAGAAACTCCAGATGATGATTATCGATGTAATTAGCCTGGGCAAGCAGTTTGAGCACTAACATGTCACAAATGATAGAATATCACTGATTTATTGTTGAGGGGGAAAAATATGATAAAAAGTACAGAGAAAAAAGTGCAATAAAGAAATTAGTTTCTTTTATTTTAGTTTAGTTTAATTTAAAGTAAACTAAATAAATAAACTAAACTAAAGTAAAAAGTAAGAAATAAAATAATAATATAACAAAATCAGTTGGCATTTAACGGAAAAGTTATTAAATGAATTAGATTAACTCGTTAAAACCATCCGCGTATGAGATTTTGTTTCGTCTGAAACAGAACGTCGGTGATTCGCTTGACACGGCTAAAAAACATATACATTATTTTAAATAGTTACATGAAAGCTGAAAATTTCCGATGGAATGAGAGGAAGGAGTTGAGCGTAATGCGGACTAAACTGACATGTGGACGAAAGGAAATGACAATTGGCTTAAATCTGATACACAACCCGAGCATGCAGTTAGAGCAGATCTAGGTAACGGGGTGCAATGTACTGGGGATGAAAGATGTAAATTTTGTTTCTTTCTCTTTGAAGTAGGAAACGTTTCGGTAGTTCAACCGAAATTCATTAAACTCTGTAGCAATATGCAGCAACCAGCTATTTTTATATTACAGAAAACATCACATAAAAATGTGAAAATACCACTTTGTTATTAAGCGTCAAAAATTAAGGGGTTTTTGATTATATTGTATCAGAGAGTTAATTATATTTTCCAAAAAATACTAGATGCACATCCCTGCTATGTACAGTACATAGCATTTAGCATCTATGTACAGAGCATCTAAATCATCATAGCATAACATAGGAATGGTTTTTTAGAACTCAGAAATAAGTGCAAACGTTACTCCAGTAGCCAGGGCTTCGCCAGGCAATTAATAAAAATAATTCAAAAATTATATATCATTCATTGCAGAGTTGATAAATTTAATGTGTAAGAAAACTTTCATATATTTATATAACAATGTCACACGTATTTTTCAATGTATTATTGATCTTTATCATATAATCATCTTTCATTTATGTGTACAAGAATATTTATATTCAGCGATTAACAATAATATACGTAGATAAATCTCATTTTCATTAGGATCTGTTTACTGAAATATTCGATTCTTACAGTTAATGGTATTTTATTTCAGATCTTTACATCCGTATTAACAACTTTCGAATATAATTAAATAGACATTCGCAAATTATTCATTATACTACTATACATTGCACTAGTCATATATTTATTAATATATGCATTATATTGTATATTACACTATATTAATTAAAGCAATAAGAGATTATTACGTTAATAATGCTAAATAAAAACTGATTACATATGTTTGCAGAACAAAGACTTCAAAATGTAAAAATTATAATCACTACACTATAAACATATTGAATGAGATTGAAAATGAAAGCAAAGGACATGATGCAAAATTTGCATGATGACACTGTCCGTAAATTTATCTTTTCGAACATAATATAAATAATAAGACAATTTATACTAATTTTCATTACATAGTGATAAATGGTGCAATTTTTTTCATTTATTAATTTTTTATCAATTATTGTAAACACTCATCAAATTACACAGCAAATTATGTAATCAATTTTAATTGAAAAGCTGTAGAAACAAGTTTCTTACCTTTCCTGATCCAACAGGACCGATAATAGTTAGTAATTCTCCACGCTGCACATTTAAGGATATGTTATCCAATGTTGGTTCCTTTTTAAGTAATAAAGTATGTATTATTTTCATAAAGATATCAATTTATTATTATTCAAAGTAAATGCCGAAACATATTTTATAAAATTTATGTTATAATTTACTTCATCAAAAGCGATATTAAACTCAAGAGCTCTGTTTACTTTAGTTAGGAAATCTCTTGTGTTAAGTAATACATAAGTTGTATAATATGTAAAACAAAAGTGGAGTGAATAAAAAGTCATAAGAGATTTTAGCATTTAAAATTGATTTCTGTTCAATTTTTTAATATAAACGAAATACACGCTTGTTATGAAAATGAGAGTTGCAGTTGCAACTTATGTGTGAACAAACGATTCGGGACAAAAGCAGAACAGGGAAATTAGTACCAAAATAATCAGTATTATATTCTTATTTAAAAACTTTAAATTTTGTCATCGTGAAGACCGATTCTATTACGAGTTTGGTTAAAATTCAAAAATTGACTGACTAATTTCTGTCGTATTTGAATATATATACACTTTCATTTAAAAATGGGTGAAACCAAAAGTAGAACCTAAGACGACGCATATGTATAGCTTGTTACAGCATTGATTCGCAGCTGAAATTTCGAATATCCGGCTATCCTGCACTCTGAGAAATAGCTGATATTTTCTAAGTAAAATCCACTATGATAGTATTCTGGAATTTATTTGGTCAAATGATGAAATAAAGACTGGAATAGGAAATACAATAGATTGCTCAAAAATAAACACGTATGCACACGAATTATTGTGTATGTAGATTTTTGCATTAACCTGTACACTTGATGTTTATGCAAGTTTCTCAAATTATTTTAACAGAGTTTCTCCATTCTCTGGTTTATCTTCATGGAGAATATTATAGCTAACAAACTAAACACTTGGTGCAACATGAGCTGATATATCAACGTTTAAAATGTACCTGACGAATTTTGCGAAAATACATAAACACTCGAAAATACAGCACTGTTATAACCCAGCAGGTTCCAGAATAAGAAATTGTGATAGAATACAATTGAATATTTCATTCCTGACAATAGAATTTTTAAATCCGATATGAATTAATTAATAGAATTCATAAATGTATTTATCTGCATAAGACTGTAGAACATTTCAGTTTTCATTCTGTTTGTAAAAAAACAAAAATTCTCAACAATAACATATCGAGACCTAACTCCATTATTTCTTGACTAACAATAAATAAAATTTAATAAATATTTTAAAGATTGGAAATAATTTCTCTTTACCTACATCTAAAAATTGAATATTAAAAATATAATGACAAACATAGACAAATTATTCACGAATGATTTCTACCTAAAAACATTTTCAGATTCAATCAATTTACAAAAAAAAAGTATTTGTACTGTACGTACAAAAGCATGCGGAAAATTTTTTTAAATTGAAAAACAGATAGATAGGCATGAAGAAAAATATTTAGTAATCTGTGAAAATAGAAATGATATGCTAATTATGTTTGCACCGTTTAATTTAATAACATTTGTTATATTGTATTTAATTGCATTATATCCATATCAATGCTAATTGGACATAACTGAACAGTTAACCAATTCTGCATTGCATTCGTACTGTTAGATTATGATAACATATACAGTCGACCCCCGTATAACGTGCGTTCCTATAACGACAATTCCTATAACGTAGCGAAAAAATTGTAGCAACATTCATATAAAATACCTCCTATTACGTCGTTTCGCGACAAGATTGATAGAATCTGGACCAATAGTGGATGAGCAGCCGAACTACTTTCCTCTGACCCTGCGCCACACTACGGAGCGGCTAAATTGAGTTTGCTATCGTCTGTACAGTATTATATATAAATTATATATAAATTAGGTACTGTACATATAATTATATATTAATTATATATAAATTAGGTACTGTATATATAATTATATATTAACTTAATTTATTGTAACTTTATTATAATTATATATATGCTTTCTGCCGCCTGGCAACACGCTACGGAGATTTTAGGCTAGTAAGTTGAGTTTATTATCGTCTGCACAGTATGTAAATTAGGTACCGTAAGTCTAATACAGCACTAATTTTATACATTTCTTGTGAAAGAAACACTTCTTATTCAACGTCCATAAAAATTATTTATATTAATGATGTCTCCAAAGGTCAAGTTATTTTTATGCGAAAAATTCGTTATTAGAAATCGCGGCCGCCGTTTCATGTGCTGTTCCGCGATGAAAACCAGCTTTAAGCAACGGCGTAGTCGAACGGTACACACTCGGTAAGTAATCCTATAATTTTTTGTTTATAGCATAGTTTATACGGATTACTCCCAAAAAATTATACGTGTTTTGGAAATGTTGAGTGGAATTAGTCTAGAATCGGTTAATTTTATAGAAGAAAACCTTTCGAACAGCCTTAGTCCGTAAAGTTCTCACCTATCGGGCTGCGATTGGCTCATGTATTTAATCATTCCTACAACGTAAAATTCGATTAGCGTGGAACGTATCTAAGCGTTATAGGGGGGGTCTACTGTACTGTTTCCATTGATTCTTCAATGAAAAGTTTATCCATCAGTTTGTTAAGAAATCTTGACTGATGTTTCATAATGACCTAAAAATAATATTAAATTCTTTTCGAGGGCTCAGACTTTGTAACACAAAATTATCATTAGGAACTAAAATTATAAGAAGCCTCTTCAATGAAAGGTCTGGAAGAGAATGAAATTCCATGAATTTATAGACACAACTTGACCTGAGCTGATATTTTAAAGACTAGATTATTGTACAATGCAATTTGTATTGATTGCTGATATATGTACTGTAAAATGTACCGACGTATATGAACGCTAACGAATATTATATCAATTTTAAATAAACCAATATGATTAATTAAATAAGTGGTTAAAAATTAAAAATAAATAATTATTTTCTGATTGTTATTTAGTTTATTTTTCCCTGAAAATCTCTCGAAATCGGATAAAACGAGTATTATATTACTTGTTATTTTTTTAAATATATTTTATTTTTAGATTTGCATTTTATTAAGAATTACTGCAACCAATCCTATTGCTTTTAAATTTTTTGTTTTTAATAAATGAAATGATTTACTTACTGTTTTCCATGCAGCTTTTACATTTTCTATCCTTATTCCATAATCCGTTAACATGACATTTTCTTCTTCCGTTTTCACTGCTTCATTATCTTTCTCTTGTAGAAGTAGAAAATTCTAAATGAAAAAATTCCAAGAAAGAACCAATTTTGTTAATAAAAATTTGTGAATGATATAATTATAAAACTATCCTATTGACAATTGCCTTCAAGAAAAAATCAAGAACATTTTTCCACGAAAAACTACATAAAAGTGTGTACTGTACGTTCTAACCAGTTAATTAGCCACAAGTTGATGATGACAATGATATGAACTGGAATTCATAATAATGCTTTCACCATTTTTGTAGTTTCAGGTCTACTTCTCAAGCAGAAACATAGCTATTAGAAACCTGCATTTGAATGGACAACAAAGTTGAGGTGACACGAATGGTAAACATATTCTGTGCCCCATCTCTTTCAGAAGTTCTATAACATATAGGTGGTTTACAACCCAAAGCTTCTGTACTTGTGTTGTTTTCACGCAGTTTGTTACTGTTATATCTCGCAGACGTTAAGTCTAAGACTTTATCTATTATATTCAGCAGTAGTATAAAAAATGTTTCTGTTTTTGGATTTGTATATGTTTCAGGTGTAGCGTGCACTCCAGTCATTTTTAAAAAATTGTTGAATCGAAAATTGCCTGATAGTCCAAATTACACTCAAGATCTCAGCACATTTTCGTGTGTCATTTTTGTAAGTAAATGACTGAAGTAGGTGAATTACGTCTATACCGTTGACCTCTCCAAGAACACAAAATAGTTTAGAGACAACATCAATAATTGAAAATAGTGATTAACGAAAAAACGGCTCAGAGAAAATAATACATCAGTAATAATAATCTCATGAATTATATAATTACTAAAAAATATTCTGTGAGAAGGAAGGTTTTTTCAGTATATAAAATGTATACATTGAAGAAAATTTAAAATAAGTTTCCATTCGTTGTGACAGAATTTTACGTTATAATGAAGTGTTTTCGCGGTATTTCTTAGACAAACGTATCACCAAATAAAAAGTCTATCATAAAAACAAAAATCGTGAATGTAAAATGCAAAATTATAATATAGGGCAGTACAAAATTTTAATAAATCAACTTTAAACTTTTGATTGGTAATTGATAAAAAAAACTATGTCAGTATTACAAACGAGGCAAGAAAAACATAAGCAATATTTAATCATATTATATTGAAAAAGTTATATTGGTTGTAAAGGAATTAAACTTATATTGAAAATAATAAATTACCCACTACAATACTATTAGGAACAGATTGGGAGTGAAGTATGAACCGCAGGGGAGTTAAGGGTCGGTCGCACCTCCTTGTACGGACAACAGGTCGTTAAACCTGCTCACTACAGGATGGTTAGTTTACGATAACGGTCCCGTAGGTTGGGCCTCTCAAATGCCGGTCGAGTGGAGAGAGAATATTTGGGGTCGACGAGAAGGTAATGGCCGTAAACGAGTAAAGGAGTCTACCATATTAACAAATAAAACAAAAATTTATTAAAATAATCAAAATCGACAAAACTACTACACAAATCTCGACATTAACTGCTCGAAAGAGAGTTTACACACTTTCTTTCATACCTCTTTGTAGGTTTCCGTGACGATTAAGGAATGTAGGCACAGAAGTATTCCATAAAAGTCTTAATGATCCAAATGAGCACAAATAAAAAGTTCGCGACACTGGCGACGAACGATTATCGATAGTACAGGATCGGGATAGCGGCGGATTCGGAGATTCGACTCGATGTCGTCGGTCCGGCTTTCAATAAGAGACTCCCCCGAGAGGGAGTAAAAACGGTCTTTTATAACTTTTTTCGGGGAATTTCCATCACGTGATCGGATGGTCTATTAGCTAAAGGTTATAGCTGTTCCAGGGACCTAAAAAGTGACGAATTTTGGATGCTAACTATAAACTTTTGTGCAAGTTGAGCTGCAAGTTATGCGAGGACAATAGAATGTTAACATTCCCGGCTAAGATCGTTTTTTTTTCTTCCAATTCGTTACATAAACATAAGGAAAAAGATAATTAAAATTTTAGTTAATAAAATTCCGGATCTCACAGAAGCTGAGGTCAGAATCAAGGATTTTTATACTATCGAGAACTTGAAAAATATTTTAAGAGGTATGAAAATTTTAAATAGTACTTAAAAATATATACAACATGATAATAATTATAACTAAATAATGTACATAATAATAATTTATATATATATATATATATATATATATATATATAATTACATTATATGTTTTATTATATTCATTGTCATTCCCAGCGTGTTTTCGTGCATTGTTTTAAATTTCGGCTGAAGAAGGACACACAAATATGAAATGCATGCAAAGTAAATGTTAATATAATGTAAATTAAAGTAAATATGTATGTCTGATATTTGTGATTATTAAGTCAGTTTTCAATGTGAAAAGTGAATTCTATATTGCCAGACTATATATTAATCTAAATATATAAAATTACTTGCCCTGACTGACTGACTGACTGACTGAATAACTGATTCATCATCACCCAGAGCAAACCACTGAACCTAAAGAGGTGAAATTTGGTACACAGTTAGGGTACTTCATGAAAACGCACACTAAGAAGGGATTTTTTCGAAATTCTCCAGCGAGGAGGAGATGGAGAGCATTAAGGCTTAACCAGAAGAACGGCTTCTACTGTACTATTTTAGATGCGATTTTTTGTTTTTAACTACGTTTAATTTTCATTGAGTACTTAGATGTATTAAATTGATAACATTTCAGACATTGTTATAAATATTTTCATATATTTCGATTTTTTAACTAAATGTTCGAACCGTTTTAAATTCGAATTTGTTATTGCATATTGGTTCGATTATAGAACGATTGTAAACGTTCCGTAAAATTGATCAAATTGAAAATAGTTCGTTTAATTCTCAGCAATTCTCATCATTCTCAGCAGTAGGTGTTATATGACAATTACTATTGTTGAAATACTGAATATAAATAGGGTTTGCTTGCAAAATCCTCGCGGGCAAAGCCGCGGGTAACAGCTAGTACAATAGGTGGTTTACAACCCAA